CCCCAATTGATGTCTTCAAATGACACCCATCTAAGAATATCACCGGCCTACACCCATCTAACAACCCATCCCTTAAGGCTCCCCAGCATATATATAACCTTTTAAAACAAGTTTGTTCCCCAATCCTCTTACACTTGATTTTGACTGAAGTGCCAGGATTTGTTTTTCTAATTTCAGCAGCATAGGACCACAACATGGCAAACTGTTCACAATGTCCTCCAGACCCACTTGCTAACACTTTCTGTTTGGCCCTATATAACTGACTAGTGTTGAAAACAAGCTTGTGCTCACTCTGCATGACTTTCTGCATGGACTCAACAGGCCATCTAGGATCAGACCATATTTTTTCTCTATAAGTTTCAGCCAACCATTTGGAGTTGGCATGAGACACCTTTTGCTTCCTAGGGCATTTGTGTATAGGGTTATACTTCCTAACTTGAACACTGTCTTCACCTGACAAAACTGCAGCATAAATGACCCATGGACACTTTTGATGCTTACATTTCACCTGAACTTTAGTTTTCTCATTTATTTTGAAACAAACATCTCTACCATTCTTTATTGCACTTTCTCTCACTGCTTTTCTGAATTGAGCCATATCAGGAAAGAACATTCCTAATTCAAACTTAGGATCATTCATATCTGTCTTCTCATTGAAAATTGCATGACCCTTGTGACCCTTACTACTTTCTGCCCTAGTTTTGTCAGACTTTGAAAGATTATGAGATAAGTCCCTCCCCACACCCCCAAACTCAACATCAAGATCAATATTATCATCAAACCAATTATCATCACATTCAAAATCAGATTTCTCTCCTTCACTGTCATCAAAAGTTTCAGATAATTCAGAATCTGACCCTAAGGATTGCTCATCATCAGTATCACTAATCAAACCATTATCAATAGTGCCCCCACCTCTATCACCACCCATAGTAGAAGGATTTTCAATCAGTTCATATTCATCATTATCACCTTCATTATCACCTATAAAATCCAAAGGCTCACTAACTGAAGGAAGTTCAACTGAGTTTTCAGAGGTGTTTATTTCAGAGGTGTTTATTTCATGTTCCACATACAAACCAAGTAATTTATGTTCATCCACCATAAACACCATTTGCATGACAATGTTATCATCTTCTAACAACACAAGGTCATTGCAGTCATTAACACCACTCCTACTGCAGTACACATTTTTTATAGCATCAATCCCTAAATCTTGTAGCATGCTCATTACTTCAATCAAGGACAATTCATCAGGATGACAATAATCGACATGTGAAATCTCACCATTTAGATAGAACTTGCGGCCCAAATCCACAAACTTACCAGAATGGTAAACCCTAATTGTAAAATAATCATCATTTGGTCCTGCAAGCCATATGACAATTACAATAATATAATCAATCACTATAAATTGCAAAATTATTGGCCTGAATAACTGTTGTATGAATTAATTTCTCAGCAAAAAACAGAAAACAAAACTTACCATATGACGGACCATTTGCACTGGATGAATCGTTTTTCTCACGAATTTGCCAACCCATTACTAACGATTTGAAGGAATATAACTTTTTGATCAGGTCATTTGATTTGTTCTTCTTTTTTCTCAGAATTTTGGAACGATTTGAACAAACTAGGGTTTTTTTGGTTGTGTGTGTCGCGTTTAATTGAGCCCCAATTGAGATTTGGGGATTTTGTACCTGTTTTAGTTAATGAAAGGACAGAAAAGCCCCTGAGAATGGCTGCCGGTGACCGGAAACAGGCGAAGTGCAACATTTCACGAAGTTTTGCCTGGTTAAGTGTCACAAAACGAAGTTTGGTGGGCAATGT